TTTGTATTTTAAATACGTAACGGCGGTACATGTATTCCGTTACTCCCCAACACTGGTTTGGAGGCAGTTTGTACATGAAGCAGGAAACAAGCTGAATACTGAAGACGGGTGAAGTTAACAGTTAAAACCAGTTTATTGTTTCTTGTGTTTTCAACATTAGTATTAATATAAATACTCTGCTCCATCTGAATTAAGTATTTACCAGATGAAAAACTGCAGCGCAGGCAGACAGATGTCGACAGCTTCATTCAAAGAAACACAGATGAGACTATAACACAGAAATTAAATGTTGAGTCTGCTTTCTATAAATAAAGTTACATTTGAACATTAAACGGTTTCCACAGATTGTTTACCTGAGCCTGATTTGGTTTTTTTAACATGTATGAATTGTGTGTCATTCGTTGTTTGATGACGTGTCAGACTCATCGCTGTTACGCAGACGTTTTTAAACGTGTTGTCGGTCAGATCAGCAGGACGGTGGGAGGTCTGGGCTTCGAGTGGATTCATCTGTGGACCAAATGAAGCACGACTTCAGACTTTTGTGGTGATTTAATCTTTGAGAGAACAGAAACAGGGAGATCAATAATTTGTTGACAAAGACTTTTTTTGTAGTTTTGCTTCTTAACAACATCACAGTGGATTTCAATCAATCAACACATGATAGAAGTTATGAGGTAACTTGTAAAAAGCATCAATTCTTATGTACAGTGGCTAATTTTCAGGTTACCTGCTGAAATGTGATTGGTCGATGTTCCTACGACTATAAATGAGAAAAAAAACTGAAATGAAAAAGGACCAAAATGTTCATGTTAAAGTGCAGAAATGTACCTGAGTATGACGTGCTGCCAACAGCATGAGACTTCTGCACTGACAGCAGCTCTTCATGTTGACCTTCAAACAGTTAGATGGACAGAAGCGTCCACGGTCAGCTGATCCACTTCAGACTCAGCTGGTGTGTTTCTGAGGACGTCGATGAGCTCAGTGTTGAGTTTCAGGTCGTTTGGTTGAGCGGTTCTCGTATTTTGGGCCAAAGATGTTTCCTGTTGGGGCGACTGCTCCACTCTGTGTGCAGGGGGAGGAGCTAATACACACACACACACTTGTTTCACTATCTTTGTGAGGACATTCAGTGGCATTAATGCATTCCCGAGTCTCTTATGTTCACGTTTAATCACCACATGTACACACAAAGGTTGTTTTTTTCTTCTTATTACTAAGACGTCAGGCTCTCGTCTGCACAAAGAGCGGCTGCATCCAGAGAAAAACGTGCTGCAGGTCCCTGAAAGTAGCCGCCGCCGCTCAGTTGGTAACAGAAATCTGAACCCAAGCATTATTTTTCTTACTGTTGTAGCTGTCTGGAGATTTCCTCCAGTTCAGCCATGAATACTCAGACCGTTGAGTCCTTTGCAGCTTCTACAGCAGGATGTGGCGACCGCAGGTTAGCCGTGTGTCAGCTAACCTGGCTGATAACCCGAACCTCTGACTTCAGGAAGCTAACATTTCAGCAGGCGTTACGCTAAAGCTGAAGCTTCGAAACATGGAGGCTAAAAGCTAATGTATAAAAGATGATTCGACTTTTAACACAGTTCATTTCTGTCTGATTTTCAGATTAAGAGTTTTAGGGTTAAGGAAGAATTTGGTGAATTTTGGGTAAGTTTGGCACTCTGAGGTTACATACTGGTACTGCAAGGCTCTTTTAACCTGAAACCAATTTTATTTTGTTTTAGCTACAATTTACAGGTGATCCCTAAATGCATCATGAAAGCAGACGTGTGAGTGTGATGGCATAGCTCTGACTGAGAGGAGCTGCTGTGTTACGACGCTGAAGTTCAGACCAATGAAACGTGAGATATGTGTGGCAGCAGCACACAAATCCCACATTAAACTCTTCACAGCATGGAACAAAAAACAGAGCCTGAGCTTTTATTGTCGATCACACGAGGTGAAACAAACAGAAGACGTTCTTACAGTGTGAGTTAAACAGGACACTGACAGTGGTGGGGAGTGCAAAGACACATCAGGTTTGTATGAAAGCTATAAAATCTGGTTGAAGCTGGAGATTACCGACGCCAAACTCGGACAAAACGAATCTCTGATGACCGAATGGCCCAAGAATGTCTCTCGAAGCCTTTGAGGGTTTTTGGGGACCCTGTGAGCAATGAGACTTTAAAATGAGCTTCTTTTCTCCCCGTTTCCTGGAAAAGTTGACATTTAGGAGGTTTTTCCCGGCTGGCGGCGGTGGCCGTTGCTGTGGAAACCAGGCTGCCTCAGAGAGCTGAACCCCACGCAGGCCGCCTCGGTGTTTGTCTCCCGAGCGGGCCCGCCGGCTGGCGCCGAGCCCACATACCTTCCCTCGGCTCTCAGAGGCCAGAGGATAATGGAGGAGGGGCGGGGGCGCTGGTGGCGCTTTAATTGGCACAGACAGCGATTATGTTCAAGGTGAAGCTGCTGAAACTCGCTCGGCCCACCATTCAGCTCTCTGAACCCCGCTGCACTCGTTGTGTTTATTTGCATGCAAAGCGACCCTTTAGCTCCACACTAAATAACTGACACTTTACCACGACTGCAAAAGTCTGCAGCACCTTTCAAAAACCTCCACACTACACCGTGCACACGTTTACTCCTCACAGTACTGATGCATCATGGGATCATAAATTACTGCCAGCGTTCTCTCCTGTCAGACGACTGAAACACTGTGTGCTCGGCCGGTTTGTGGGAGTGGGTACAGCGAGGCTCTGATGAAAAAACTATTTTCAGCTCTGCACCAT